TCTGTGCCTGCTTCTTTATTTTGTTACAAAAGTACAGATATTACAATTGGCAATGAGGTTGTCGATTACATTTCCTTTACCGGTTCCATTCCTGCCATGCCCTGGCGAGCCTTCACTTCTACTGTCTGGCTCGAAATGTTTGAAAATTACCTTCTTGTAATTGCTGCTACTGGTGACGCATGGCCAGAGGAAAGAAAACAAGCTGTTTTTCTGCATGCTTTGAGCACAGAAGGACAAAGACTGTTTTATACCTTACCAGACACGGGCAATACCTATACTACGGCTATTGCTGCACTGAAAAGACAAAAGGGGCATAATAGGTCACCTTTAAGGGAGCCTAACAAGGCTATAATTGCACAGACGTGAAGACATATGCAGAGAACAAAAACACTGTGGCACGTAAAGAGCAGAAATGTAAAGAGGATACTGACAAAAGGAGAGGAGCCAAGGTACCCAAATTCAAGGAAAAGGACTGGGTGCATATTAAGAAAACAGGTCTGCGTTTCACAATAGCGCTGTCTCTTAGCGTGCTACGAAGACTCTAAAGGTATGTCTTAACTAAAGGTGTACCTGTTCTAGGCGTGTTCCCCAAACTATACCTTAGGACGCTGCTTAAGATATACCACCTTACGAGCGACGTTACCAGGTGCTGTCCATGGCAGTGGTGCTGAATTGTTTGAAATCGATACCTTGAAAATCGATTATTCATTCTGTGCATGGGCTGCTTCACTGTGTTATGTGAGAAAGCGGTGTTCTTTATAAAATAAGTGCTGATTTTAAATAAAGATAGAACTCTTTCCTGTTAGAACGCAACAAACTTGTGTGAAACTTTTACTTTCGCTTTGCAACATACATCATGCCAGGGAATAAAACCAAGAAAGAAAAATATATACCCAGAGCACCTCCCAGTGGTCACATAAAATACAAGGGAAAAAACTACATGAGACACTGCTTAATAATTTAACAGCTTTTAACAGAAGAGAGAGAGAAAAAAACTGCATGGCTGCATTTCCTGAAACCTTCTTAATGCTACATCGTTCTTAAGTTGTACCTTAAGCTGTACCTTATCGTTAATCGTTTCCCGAAATGTTTTTAGTTAAGTATACTGTAAGTCATACTTTCATAAGGTTGGTCTGGACCACTCTTAGCTATACCTTATCACTGTTGACAGTTCACAGTTCTTTACATCTCAGTCTATACGAAAGTAATTCTGAAGTAATACACCCAGTGTTCAATTAAGCTGCAATTCTTAAAAAAAAAAATAAAGAAAGATAAAGAAATTATTAAAAAAAAGGCAAACTCGATGGAGCTACCCCCTCAGCCCCGAAATTCAGCTGCTGGTGGCTCTCCTCTTTCTGTCTTTTTTTCTCCCCCATAGTAGCTGTGATTTATATGTTTCCTGTGTTGTGCTTTTATTGAGTAGCTCATCCAATAACATAAATTTGTTATTTACACCAATATGTGATGTGGCTGCTGCGCAATCAACCCTGGTTGTGGAGTAAATGAGCACTCTTACCTGAATGTATTTCTGTTGGACTTGTAGGCGCAAGGTTTTTTTTCTCTCTCTTTCTCTTCTGTTAAAAGCTGTTAAATTATTAAGCAGTGTCTGGTGTAGGTTTTTTTTTTCCCTTGTATTTTATGTAGGGACCACTGGGAGGTGCTCCGGGCATATATTTTACTTTCTTGGTTTTATTTCCTGACTTGATGTATGTTGCAAAGCGAAAGTAAAAGTTTCATGCAAGTTCGTTGCATTCTAACAGGAAAGAGTTCCTTGTCTATTTAAAATCAACAATTCTTTTATAAAGAACACTGCTTTCTCGCATAACGCAGTGAAGCAGCCCGTGCATAGACTGAATAATCAATTCTCGAGGCATCGATATCAACCAATTCAGCACCACCGCCGTGGACAGCACCTGGTAACGTCGCACGAAAGGAGGTACATCTTAAGCAGCCTCCTAAGGTATAGGTTGGGGAACACGCCTAGAACAAGTATACCTTTAGTTAAGACATACCTTTAGAGACTTCGTAGCGCGCTAAGAGACAACGTTATCGGGAAACGCAGCCCTGATATGTTTCCACTATACTACTTAATTATTATTATTGATTCCTCCTGATGTGATCCCTTTCAAGGAGTTTAATTAATAGTCCATGAAAAAATGCTTGTCTTTTTGCTTTAACATAGGATTGTGAGTGCAGCCAGAGGCAGTTTTTTAATCGTATCTATGAGGTCTTATCCTCTTGATCCCCTACACCCTTAGCAATGAGAGGATGATGAGATGTTTGCCTGAATTGCTGCTCTGTTTTTTCCAGATCTGACAGATGGATCTTCCACTCAAAAGCAAATGGTGTTTGGAGTGGTGACAGCCATCGATCTCCTCAACTTTGTGACGGCTCGAGAGAAAAGAGAGCGATCGATGTCAGAATCAACAGATGAATACTGAAGGCATTAGAGCACTTCCTGCCTCAATCTGAATGTGATGCACTACAAAGAATCATAACATTAGAGCTATAGATGTCATGTGGTTATTTCACCTAAATTTGGGCAGTAGGGTTGGGTGGCACTGCTTCTTAAAATTATATTTCTTGCTTATCTGATTTCGTAGCCAATAATTATGTAAACATTTACAAATGTTGTTAACAATTATTAACTAATGTTAACAAATTTACAATGATGTTTAAAGGCATCAGAACAGGGTCTAAAATTACGTATTTACCAATAATTAACTTTACTGGATATAAATCATTACTGGCCATGGATGCAATGTTGCCAACTTAGCAATTTTGTTGCTAAATTTAGCAACTTTTCAGAGTACCCTAGCCACTTTTTCTTCCAAAAGCACCTAGCAACAAATGTAGCAATTTTTAAAAGTTATAAGTGACTCGGACAATAAAAAGGCACACATTTTCCATCCAAAAAAAGAGAGGAAACCACAGATACCTAGCAGTACACACATCACGTGAATTGAGTTAGCTGCTGTTTGCAATTGTTCAATTTAATAATAATAATACACTTTGTTAGTAGCTTGTACCTGCGATTGTTGATCAGTTAGTACACTGTAAGAAAAATGGAAAAGATACTAGTAATTTTCCAGGACATTATCCATTATCACCCTGTAACCTGAAAACACAATGCGTAATTTAAAATGCAGGTAAAAAAAAAAAAAAAAAACAATACAGAAAATTATTTCATATTAACATAGTAGATTGTGCCCTATTTTTACAGACTTTTCTTAGAGTGTAGCATACTATCTAACTACTAATACACTGCTTAAAGCATAATTGTTGAGAATGTGTAGTATTACTAGTTTACTAGCTATTAAAACAACTTAAATTGTAATCATTCAAAAATGTTCAATAATTAAACGCATTTAAAAATACAGTTATTTATATTTTAATATTATATTATGCATATTATTTTAAAAATAAATCTAAATTAACATATATAAAATATATTTTTGGCTGAGATTTGATGTGAGACAATTTTACACCTTGATTACGCAGTGCCATCATAATGTCATTTAGTAACTTTTAGCAACAAATAGACCTTCCTTTAGCAACTTTACCTGAAACTTAGTTGGCAACACTGCATGGATGTGTATTTTGCATTGTGTTATTCCAAAACTATTTGTTTTAGTCAATGTGACAATTATTGTGGTTTGTTTTCTTGCATATTTTGGACAAACAGTGCTGACAAAAAGTCAGTCTCACTGTATCCTGTGCTACAGCTGCGTCTGTCACAAAACAAGTGATTTTACTCTGTATTTTAATTTTGGTTGCTTATTGTGAGAAATATTTGACATATATGTAACCACATGTAGTTGTAGGCACCTCTGATGGCAAATTTTCCTCTGAGGTAAAAGTTGTTACAAGCTGTAAAGCAAGGGTGGCCAATCCTTCTCCTGGAGAGTCACTTTCCTTCAGAGGTTAGCTCCAATACACCTGCCTGGAAGTTTCTAGTGTTCTTTCTTAAAGACCTTCTTGATTAGCTGGTTTAGGTGTGCTTAATTGGGGCTTGAGCTAAACTTTGCTTGAAGGTGGCCCTCCAGAAGCTGGTCATGTTGTAAACATAACCTTTCATTTGAATCAATTTTGTCACTTTTATCAGTAAGGGCCAGGTTGATCGATGTGATGTTGCAGTATCAACCCCAGTGAAGGCAAGTGGCCTTGGCACAAACTGTTAAACCAAATCGTTCAGGGTGCAGTAGATGATGGTGTAGCTGATGAAAATTAGGTTACCCGCATGACTGTTGAATGTTGTTTCTAAATTTGCTTTCATTACTCTAGCCTTCTTACTGCATTATATAAAAAAGTTGGTACATTACAATTAAGTAAATACCATTTTAAAAATCCTTTCCTAATTGAATTTGTCGCAGTAAATGAATAAACAATGGAAGGGAGGCTATAAACAGTTATTGAAGATACCGTTACATGCAAGATAATGAAGTTTGCATCTTCTCTCCAGCCTTGATATAAAATATCCTTTCTTACCTCACACTCTTGTAATAGTTACATTCATGCTTCAGTCTACTGACAAAAAGCTTCCAACAAAAGCTGCTGACTGAGCTGAAACCTGGCCAAAGATTAAAGCACCCATCCGGTGGCCTGGACACCCATCCTCACTCCACTGGCTCGGCTGGGGTCTGTTTGCCAAGGCCGTTGAGTCTGTGGTATGGAAAAAGGGCCTTGCTGGTGGTTTACAGTTAAGCCTCACCAGCGTGCCAGGTGAAGCCCCCAGGATTACCCTAATGCTGCCGCACAGTCTAGAGGGGAAGTCATTACGTCTGCCATTGGCATTATGCCTTCAGTCAGACTGATAATAGATATGTTAAATACTCCACACATAAAACCTTTGCCAAGCCATTTCACTGAACATATGTGTCAGTGCTCTTGCTATATATGCTATTAAACTACTACAGTGGGGGAAAAAGCAGCAGTTTGCAATCTACCAAAAGTGTATATAGAACATTCAGCTTGATTTATTTCTCTTTTTTCTTTATTTACTGACCCTCGTGCCATTCTAAACTCAATTGATTTTCCTCCAGTGGTTTAATCCAAGTTTTCTGAAGCTATATGATTACTTTCTATGGTTATTCATTCTCAGATCAAATGACTGATCAACTGTACATAGAGCCCATGGAGTCACTGTAGTGATATGGGTCAGTATTTTTTAACACAAACAGTTTTATACAACTTTCAAAGCTCATCAAATGTTAATAAAAACATTTGCTCTATTTTGCCAGTGAGAGTGTGTGCAATCATCATGAATGTTTACCCGATAAAGCCTACTGAATCAAATTTGATATGACAAATTCCTATGGCATTTAAATTATCAACATGATTAAAACTTGCTAAAAAAAAACAAACCCCTGTTGAACACAATCTACCACGTGTCTTCTGTTGTCTGATTTGATTGTATCATTGTACAAGCGTCCACCATCAGGTTGTTGTTCATGTGTCTTTTTGCTGTGAAATTTTTACTGATATTTAAGTAATAACATTGATGTTGTTAGTAATATTTCAAGATTAACACTTACTGGACTTAAGTAACTTTTATTTTATTACCCTTTTTTCATGTATTTATTTATTTTTTAGAAAAATCACTCAAATACGATCCATCAGGCTTTTGAGGAACATTATTTGTTCATCTCTCAATAATCATTGTATTGCATTGCATTATATGTTTTGATCATCTTTAAATATTATATTACTAAGACATTACTGGGAGATATAGAGTGACAACTTATATTTATATAATTTTATGTAAGTAGTCTGCTATACTGTTATAAAGATCTCATTGATTTACATTACAAGCTATTAGAATTGCATCTTGAGTTGTGGCCATATAAAGTATTTGCACCAAATTTGTGCTCAGTTTGGGTCTCTGAATAAAACTGAGCTGTTTCTTCTCACTATATCATACTATATGATCCATAAAAGCCAGATGTATCAAATATACTGAACAAAAAAACGGGTTTTTATGACTTACTCCATTTTTTTAGAGGGTTAAAAATACATACATCGTACTGATGTCTAGACTCATTCTGCAAAGCATGGGAATTTCACTCATGCACTACATTCCCCAGACTAATCCCTCTCTTTATGTGGTCCATGATTTGTATTCTGTATAGTAACATGCCATCAAAAATGATTTTTTTTGGGTCAGCTTCTAAACAATTTTGCAGACTAATTTTTTAAATGAACTTTTTAGTAAAGCTTCAATTCTGAGGAGGAAATATGCTTCTGAAGACCTGTACTTATAAAGTAGTCAGGACTAAGTAACATCTGGTGAAACAAGTGGCTATAACACACCATTAATAATGCTCTGTAGCCACCCCACTTCATCTGTATGGTCTGGTTTGTTTTGGCAGGCATTTATTTTCCGGTGATAACTTGCCAGCAGGGAACTACCAGGAGCCATTCAGGGCTAGACTATCATTCTCAGGTCAGTGTGCACCCCACCGATTCTGCTGACAGCACTGTTCCCACCATGAGATAATGCCATTCCAGAGAGATCCACTTGTAAGCCTCTCTTTCTGCAGCACAGGTATATAACCAGGAGCTTGCCTTCGCTTGGGACGGCACACATCATTAGGGATCTTTGTCTACTGTACCAGCCTCCTCATACCTGCCTTCAGTCCACATCGTCTCCTTGAAAAATTTCCTCAACATCAAGTGCAAATAGTCAGAATCAGGTTGAAATTTTCCAGTCTACGTTTAGAATCCAAGCTGCGAATTTCCAAGCTTGACATGGATATTGCCATTCAACATCCCTGGTTTAGACGCACCCTGGGCTACCCCACCCGCCACATCGACAAGTTCTTTGGAGAAGGCCTGCTCGACTATGACCTCTTTCCC